GTGTACAAAAAGGAAGCCAGGTAAAACGTGCAGATTAAATACTCCCTCGTTTCTCTTGTTCTGAGGAGCTCCACCGAAAGCTATCAGCGAGGTAAAACTCACACTTCGTGCTACCTAACCTGATTGTGGGCTTGTTCGATGCCGCAGCCTTCTGCTGCTTTCTGTCTCCTCTTCACTCACGACTCCTACTCGCTGAGAGGGGCTGAGAGCAGCAGCAGAAGAGGGAAGTGGCTTTCGGTGAGAAAGGCTGGAGGAGGACAGGGTTTCTTGGTATGAGAAGGCAAACTTGTACGTGACTCAGTTCTTGCAGTTCCAAATCTACTTTCATATTTCAGTACCCGAGCTCACTCTTATCCACTCACAGTGAATTTCACTGACTACAAACCAAACTTAGGTGTTGATCAGCCATTAAGATTGGAAACACTCCTAGGAACTGCCAGTCTTAAATTTCAGATCCAGACAGGAGGTGGCCCAGTATAAAAAGATCTGGAATCTCAGTGGAAAAAAAACCAAAAACAGCCAAATAATCAACTTAGATTAGTCCACCTCTTCTTTTTTCTGACCTGTATTCCTGTTAACACCAAAGCAGTGCATGGTAACTGGAAGACTTTCTGCTGAGTCCCAAAGGTGTCCCAATAAAATGTGTGTGGATTCCATTTAATTGGCTTTACTGGGGAAGGAAGAAGTTGAGCAGAGGTGGTATGTGATTGAGGAAATTGAGTTTTATAGAGTCTTTTCTCACACAGGGGTCAGTGTGCTCTGGTTTAACAAGCTTGTAGCTTTTGCAGGCTAATTACTTAATACTCTTTGGAGATCCTGTGAGATTGACTTAGATTTACAAATGCCAGTTTCGGTCAAAGCAGTTCTCAGAGAACAGACCCTATCTAGCTTTGAACTGCTTGAATCTATTTTCTGTTGTGGTTTTGCACAGCCAGCGTACCACGGAGTTCAGTGGTGTTTTTCATTGAAAATGCCTTGTGTATGAGGCAGGAGTGATACCACCCTGAAAAGTGTGACTGTCCTGGTATAGAGGGCTTCAGTGCCTGTGTAAATTACCTGTAAAGCAGGTAATCGTGGTGTTGCTAGAAAAGAGATGGCAATCGAATGCACGGTTAACGGTCAGCGTTGTCCCGTCGCAGCGTATTGAATTAGCTGAGCACGCTCAGTTTTGGATGCTGTGAACATGTTTTTACCGCAGTCTTTAAAAACTTCTTTAGCATGTACTAAGAGGGAGGTTTCTCTTCGTTTGACCACCAGCTTATCCTTTCGGTTTAACTTTAATTTCAATTTGGTGGCACTCCTCCTTCCTCAGCCCCAGAGCTGGGCTGGGACACAAAGCGAGC